GCCAGAACTGTGATATATTTCTAGTATGCATCAAGATGTACAAAATAGAGATAAACACATTCTCGATAGGAACTTCAATGGCGCTGTGAGCTGGAAATATGGGTTCAAAATCTAATCAGAGTGCACATGGAAAACAATAAAGAAGTGATCTCATCCGAGACCTTATTAGCTCATGTCACAACATTGCACAATTTAGCTTACTGCAGTCGGTGCCTCAGCACGGAACAGTGGAGATAAAGCAAGCCAGGACTGATGTATGCTGGCAGAGAGGTGCGGCAGAAGCTGGATGACAGCACCTGCCTGCCTACATTGTGTCTACCTGGAGACTGTGATTGAGCTCCTCCTTTGCATGAGCACTAAATTCATTCAATTAAAGTAAATACAAAGAAAAATGAGAAAACGTGAGCCATCCCAGTAATGGCTCTGTGTGCTCATATGGGAGACCCAATCACAAGTTCCAGTCCCTGAGAAGGTAGCAGACTACAAATGCTGCTGAGCCATGATGAACTTAACCTCACCCCAGCAGGTAGGGGTAAATGCTGCCTTGTGTTTCTCAATGCAAGCCGCCTAGCTCAGTGGTTCTCAACCAGGGATCCCGGGGAGGGGCATGAGCAGATTTCAGGGAGTCCACCAAGCAGGGCCAGCATTAGACTTGCTGGGCCCAGGGCAAAAAGCCAAAGCTCCACCACATGGGACTGAAACCCCTGTGGCTACAGCTGAAGCCTAAGCAATGCACCTTCACGGGGCCCCCTGTGGCATGGAGTCCCAGGCAACTGCCCTGGTTGCTGGCCCTGGCTTTTCTATGCAGAAAACCAGTTCTTGGGCACAATTGGGCCATGGAGTTTTTATAGCATGTTGGGGGGGGAGGGGGGAGGCTCAGAAAGCAAAAGGTTGAGAACCCCGTTCTCCCTGATTGAAGGATGGCAGTGATGAGCTCTGAAAGGCATCTTTCTCCAAGGCTAGTGGCTGCAACATGCAGCCTGAAAGGGTCGTCGTCCCAAATAAATTGTTTACCAGAAAACTTACCTGTTGATTTTCACTCTTGGATATTATGCACAGAGAAATGAACTAGAATAGGAACTTTTACATTACAGAAAGTAGTACCCGCTGAGAGTCAGGGTGACGCTACTGATGCTCCTATCAGATGACATTCCCAACATTCTTGATCATTTTTAAACTGTGATATTTTATGGTTACTTAATCTATCACACTAGTTTTAAGTATTACAGGAGTCTCAAAAGCGGTGTATTGTTATACTACTTGTACTAATCTACCTTCTTGTGGCAGTGTATAAAGAGACGAAGTTTCAGCGTTCACTGAATTGTTTTGTTTTTGTGGACTGGACAAATTTAATTTACTTCATTTGCTTTTCCAAAGCATATTTTAAGCACTGGACTTTATAGCATCACAAGTGATTTTAAGGTTTCTCCTTGTCAGTTTGCTTTACTTTTATACAAATATTTTCTAACATCGGTGGTATTACAGTCGTTACGCCTCCCCACAAATGGGGATTGAAGGGATGCAAGTTAGACACAACTTACATTTTGTAAAAACATTTACAAGACCTGTGATCAATAGAAGTGTTTTCACAATTTAAAAAATATTTCCAACTTTTTTCCTGTCACATTTACAGCCCTAACATTACGGCATTATGTTAATGTATGAGAACTATGAGGGATTAGTCTGTTTTCATTATCTACACTGAAAAATGCAAACAGTGAGAAGTAAAATAGATTTATAATTTCAGTTTTAACTAAAATAGCTGTAACATTAGCAATGATATTTATTTTCAAAATCGGTTTACCCAGTGTCCTTTCAAACTATGCTAGCTAAAATTGAGGTTTAAAATGTCAAACAAACACAATTCTGGTTAACTATTTCTGGACACAGCTGTAGGTAGCATGCATGGGTGCTCCAAAGTGGGCAGATATCTTGTTTAAACAAACAGCTATACTACTGACTACCTGCAGTCAGTTGCAAACACAACTTGTAACTTGAGTTCAGATACAAACTATATTATATTTGTGTTTGAGAATGTGTCTAAAATTTTAGACAGTTACCAGACCTAGTAGGGAAAGGGCATTAAAGAAATAGTACCAAAACAAGAAAATAGATGTAATAAATTAGGTATTGCAAATAGCTTACCATAACACAAAACAAGCAATCAACAATAATTCCCACCAATACTGATGTAGTAATTTCTAGCATCTGTGAAGTATGCAGCAATTTATAAAACGGTCATGATTTCAGACCCTATCCACATCCAACCATAAACGCAGTGGCATTTTGTGTTCCCCATATGTAGGGCCCTACA